GCTTGGCCAAGGTTTGCCGTCACCTCCGAACTCACAGTTAGCGTGAGGGACAGCAGAGCAGTCCCGCGGAGGTACGTGGGGAAACGGGTAACAGAGATTAACGTAGGCGTGCCCTGCTGCAGGCGCCTCCCGGCGCTTCCCCGGCGGCGGGCCGCCCCTTCCCTGCCTTCGCCTCAGCTCGGAGCCCGCCGGCTCGTGTGGAAACTCGAGGCGTGGCCTACGTGTTCACCCGCTGCTGCGGCGGGTTCGGCAGCCGGCTGCCGCCCGCCGCGCCGCGCTCCCGGGTGACAGCGCCGGGAGCTAGTGCAGGAGGGCAGTCGAGGACCGCGGAGAAGCTTCGGAAGGCTTCGGAACAGGACATGGAATTCTAGCAGTGTGGGGGAGACAAGGGTTTTTTTCCCCCTCCGCTAACTTTAGCCCAACTCTGCGTTTAAAAAAAACCAAAACCAACCAGAAAAACACACTCGAGAAATGTAAGCTAAACACAAAAAGTAAACAGGATGGGAGGAGGGGGGGAAAAAAAGGAAGGTAGCGAGGTGGGTGTCGGTCTCTTCTCCCAAGTAACAAGCGATAGGGCGAGAGGAGACGGCCTCAAGTTGCACCAGGGGAGGTTTAGATTGGATATTAGGAAAAATTTCTTCACCGAAAGGGTTGTCAAGCATTGGAACAGGCTGCCCGGGGAAGTGGTTGAGTCACCATCCCTGGAGGTCTTTAAGAGACGTGGATGTGGTGCTTAGGGACATGGTTTAGTGGTGGACTTGGCAGTGCTAGGTTAGCGGTTGGACTCGATCTTAAAGGTCTTTTCCAACCTAAACAATTCTATGATTCTATGATATACGAGTCGAAGAAGAGGGCAGTTTCCTGCAAAAACTTAATATTGATCCACTAAACTTTGATATTTGTAGAGAGATTCCTTACATATCTTGGTAAACAAATACAATGGAGATCCTAATGGATGTAATCTTTATCCTATTCCCATGAAAGAATTGGTCTTTGTAAAAACTTATTTTGATAGTTTGTCAACTAATTTAGAGATCCCACCCATTTTCAAATACTAGCTCTGGTCTTCCAAAGTTATTTGCATTTGATTGTGGCTGGGGGAAGGGGGGGGAGGGGGGAACCTTTCTGAGCAGAATTTCTAGGAAGAATATTTTGTGAACCTCCGTTTTATTTATAGTAGCTTTAAAGGGAGTATCTTCTTCAGAACATCTAGCTTTACTTGCCACTGAACTGGAGACAGGAGGAAAATGTGTGATTTATTATATGCTTTCAAAACACAATTCCCTGGTTCTCTTTCAAAATACAAAATTCCACGAGTCTTACTGGAATTCAAAGATGATCTGTCAGCATAAAGTATCCTTCAGACCAGAAATCACAAACTAAATGGAGACTAAAAAATAATGCAGCAATAACTGCAAGGAATGGCAATCATAAGCAAAACAGACCATGTTAACAAAAGTGCTAAAAATACGTTTTATCCTTACTAGGAAGGGAGTTATGCTACACAATCAGTTTCTCTTTTGCAAATTGTAATACGTTCTATGGCAGGGGTTAAATGCAGTTTGGAAAATAGGAGAGGATGTCTTGAAATCAGAATTTCCAATGCAGTGAGAGTACTGCTGTGCTTGTTATACGTAACCTTAGCTAAGCCACCCAGGTCTGTCTGCAGTCTCAAACTTTCTTGTTCAAGTCTTAGAAATGGTCTAACTAGAGTAGCATGGAGTATCAGATTGGTTAATTTACTCTGCAGTATACCTAAGTTCTCCTTGCTTTGGTATTCCCATCTGTAAATGGGGATTGTACCATTTCTTATTTCAGAGTTAGAATATTTTAAGATCTTTTGTGCTCCTCAGATGAAAAGTGTTATGAAGGCAGAGTATAAATTTTAGGGGCCGATGCTGGATAAGAGAGGAACTATAGGCAGGACACTGAAAATTGCTAAGGTAAATCAAATCATCAGCTGAGCAGACAGAGGTCCTGAGCAGGGGTTAAAACTGGCAAAGGACAGAAGGAATTCAGATGAATGACTGAAATCTGGAAGATTTGGCTGAGGAATCAGCAACTGAGAAGGGCAGTTAGTTTCTGAACTGTTGGGGGTTTTTTTGTTTGATTCAGCATCTGGTTATACCAACCAGAAACTGGTTTAATCCAAAATAAAGACTCTAATTATTGTTTAGCAGTACCAGTGAATAGTCTGTCCTGAGTGGAGTAGAGGGTAGATTTAGATTAGATATTAGGAAGAAATTCTTTACTGTGAGGGTGGTGAGACACTGGAACATGTTGCCCAGAGAAGTTGTGGATGTCCCCTCCCTGGAGTTGTTCAAGGCCAGATTGGACGGGGCTTTGAGCAACCTGACCTAGTGGAAGGTGTCCCTGCCCGTGGCATGGGGGTTGGAACTAGGTGATCTTTAAGGTCCCTTCCAACCCAAACCATTCTGTGATTCTATGAGTAATACTTTCCCAAGTTCAGGTAGAGGTACCAAGTAGAGAATACAAAAATCTACTTTGTAGCTTGGAAAAAAATACGGCAGGAGTGTCTGTGGAATGCACAGGTCAGATACGTAGAAGGACTTGGCAAATAAAATTATTTGGATGAGTTGATTAGGAACTTTGCTACTTTGGGTGTGAACATCTGCTGGAAGGTTGTGCTTGAAATCCAAAAACTAGAAACAAAAATCTGCAGTCCTAATATACCACCGAAAGTTGTTTTAGTTTGTGAGGATGGCTAAGAAATTACATTCCCTTCACGCTGATTCACACTGAATCGTTACCTCTACTTTCTCCTTTATGAAACTATCCTCTAAAATCTCCAAAGAACAAGTGCTGAAGTATTACATTTAACATCTCAGAGTCTCTGATATCAGTGCTTGTAATATCAGACTTGCTCCTGAAAAGCACTGGAACTAAGTAAGGAAAAGGTTAGGAATGAATCTGTACTATATTTTCGTATCTTTTCATAGCAGAAGGTTTTGATCCTGCGACCTATTGACCATCATTAACCAGAGCACTTACCAGGATGGGTGAATGTTTAAAACAGGGTGGGGTGGAGGGGGAATGGAAATAATGGACAGACTTACCAAGACCACATTATTTTAGGTTGATAGCCTCTCACAAGGAACTCATGGTGTTGAGGCTACTATCCTGGAGAGTAAGATCCCCCACCCCACTGGCCTTGCAGGAACTTGTACTGTGCCTATTTCCCAGCCATAAATTTGCAAAAATTTTGTGTAGATGTAGCTATGGTAATTTATAAGTTTATAGATTGAAAACATAATTGTACTGGAACATATCTCTTAGCAGGCATAACATTTCACCTAAATGTGTGGGCTTGCTAGAAAGAGTTCTTGACTGCCTGTCTCGTGGAAAAACATGGCATTATCTGAGGAAAAGCCAGTACTTCAGTCTGGTAACAAAACGCAGTAAAATATTTTTCCACTCACATTTTCCAAACACTGTTCTGTTCTAAAACAAACACTTCAAAAGTTGACCAGCCTTTCTATTTAACAAAATGAACCATCTCCTAAGAGAGGAAAAAGATTTATGAGAAGTTATGCATCATTTTAGTAATTTAGAACCTTGTTATATTTGGGGTTTTTTTTTGCTTTATTGAACATGGTAGGAATACACGTTTTTAGAAAGTCATTTTAGGCACATGGGAATAGCAGTGCCATCTCTACGTAATTTCAGCACACAAATGCAATTGTGTACCGCCTGTAGGATGTGGCATTATCACCAGAGTGTCATCTTTTTCCTTTAAATTTGGGCAATACAGCACAGCACCCCTCCATAAGATCTCAGCGTTAATGTGGGCTACACGTGCAAAATGGCTTTGAATTGCATATTTAAGGTAGGATAACAGAATTATTAGGAAGCAAAGGGCACATAAAGTTATGATGTATTACGTAATTTCAGCACAGTTCTATGAAACAGAAGAGCGATTTCATCGCAGTAACAAATACTTTGGGGGGGACCACATTATTCTAGCTACCGGCCGTTTCGGTGGTACACAGCTGGCAGTGTTTACACTGAACCCATACATTCTCTCCCGCAGTTTCCCAGCCTAGTTACGTATTCGTTTCCCTTAGAGCATCGGTTTCTTTGTACTGCTACG